GACCGACCCAGAGGTCCGAGCCCATGGCGCGGTGGGTGCTCTACGGCCCGCAGCACCTGTGGACAAAGGGGGGGGGGGGGGACACACATCCCGGCAACTCCAGGGGCGAGTCAGGCGGGGCCCCACCCGTCTCCCAGGCGCCAGGAAAACACAGTAGCTTTCCCAGCTGGTGGGAGGGGGGGCTACCCCAGCTCCGGGTGTGTGTGTGTGTGTGTGTTGGGAGGTATCCCAGTTCTGTGGGGGGCGCAGGGTAGGGACCCAGCTTCGAGGCCTTCTCCACCCCCCACCCCCAAACTGAGTGAGTTTAGTGTGTGTGTGTGTGTGTGTGCGCGCGCGCGCCCACGCCAAGTTTGGACTCAGCACCACCGAAGGGAATTCCCCGGGGTTCTGGGGGGCTGGGGTGTGTTGGCATCTGGGGAAGGTGCCGAAGCAGGGGAGCGCACTGGGACCGGGCGCCTGGAGGGGTCTGAGGTTGATGCACTAACCTGCTCCTGTGGCCACCGGCTGGGAAGGCAAGTGGGTGCCCGGGCGGCCTGGCCCCGCCCCGCCCCCAGCACCGCCTCACGCTGGGCCTCTCCTCCTTGGAGCCTGGCGTTGGCCGAGGACCAGCACGCGGGCCTCAGGCTCCCCCGGCTTCATACACCCATTCCAGGATAGACAGATATTCAGATGAAAAGCAGGTATGAGAACAAAAAACTTTAATACAATCAGCAGGCTCAGTTTATTATTATGTGTAGAGAGAGAGCGTTGCATCTATTTAAGCCCACAGAATACTTGCAAAATATCATTATGTGCCAGGCCACACATACATACACACACACACACACACACACACACACACACACACACACACATGCAAATTGAATAAAGAGAAAAACTAGGACAGATGATTTGATCGTAATCCAAAGCAATTCTAAACAAACAGTAAAATGTTAAAAAACCAAGAGAACTTAAATAGTTAGAAAATAGCAAATTATCTTTTAAAAAACCCTGAATCAAAGAAAAACTCAAATATGAAGTTTCAAAGTAAAGGGTGTCCCAAAATTCACCTAAGAAGTAATTTTGATAGAAAACACAGGTTTATAATTAAAAATTGTAAATTTTTTATTGATTCATAAAGTATACAGTATAGGGTTATGTATGGAATAGCACATCGGGTAAATGGATTATCATGTCGAGATAGCAAGCACCATTAACTTATTGCCTGAGCAGCCGCATTTTCGAAGAAGAATGGTCCGATGATGCCTCCAGCCCCAAATCTGCACCAAACAGTGACACGTTGTGGATGGCTTGGTTAATCGACAAAATTGTCGCATTTGGGGCTCAGAAAATCCACGAGTGATTGTTGAGAAACAAATGCATCCACAACGTGTCACTGTTTGGTGCAGATTTGGGGCTGGAGGCATCATCGGACCATTCTTCTTCGAAAATGCGGCTGCTCAGGCAATAAGTTAATGGTGCTTGCTATCTCGACATGATAATCCATTTACCCGATATGCTATTCCATACATAACCCTATACTGTATACTTTATGAATCAATAAAAAAATTTACAACTTTTAATTATAAACCTGTGTTTTCTATCAAAATTACTTCTTGCGTGAATTTTGGGACACCCTTTATATGTAAAACTGCAAAGGTGCATGCCTTCATACTCTGCTCTATAGGACATAGCTAAAGCTGTGTTCAGAGGGAAACAAAGTCTTCCTTGATTTCATTATTAATGAAGAAAAAATTTAAATAAACATGTTACAAATATTAGAAAAAAGAACAGTAATGTGCACCGTTCTTTAGATCCAGAAAGAATGGGTCTATTCTGCCCAGCTTGGCACCCACCAGCTCCTAGAGGAGAAAGGGCAGGAAGGAGTGTCCAGTGGTCTGATGGGAATTCCTGGCCTTTGTCAAGTGAGTGCTGAGCCCAGGGTGCCAGCCCAGGAGTGAGAACCAAGATGGATTGTGGTGACTGGCCAGCTGCACCTTCTCCCCGCCTCAGGGCAGCCTGGAAATGCAGGAAATTCACACTCCATGGGGAAGACCTTTAAAAAAATTTATTTATTTCCCTAACCAGTTTGGCTCAGTGGATAGAGTGTCGGACTGCGGACTGAAGGGTCCCAGGTTCGATTCCAGTCAGGGGCATATGCCTTGGTTGCGGGCACATCCCCAGTAGGGAGTGTGCAGGAGGCAGCTGATCGATGTTTCTCTCTCATCAATGTTTCTAACTCTCTATCCCTCTCCCTTCCTCTGTAAAAAATCAATGAAATATATTTTTAAAAAAAGTTATTTATTTACTGATGAGAGAGAAACGTTGATTTACTGTTTCACTTATGTATGCATTCACTGGTGCATACTTGGTTGCTTCTTGTATGTGCTCTGTCCGGAGAGTGAACCTTGGCATATTGGGACAATGCTCTCTAACCATCTGAGCTACCTGGCCAGGGCCAAGGGGAAGAGCTTTGATTGGATTAATTCTTCCCCTAAAGGACAATACTGAGAAATGATGAATTTATTTGGCCTCTTGGAGGCTGATCCCTTGAGAAGGAGCAGCTGGCACGCTCAGTACCCAGTAGTGGCTTCCTCCCTCTCCCTCTCCCTGGGGTCACACCTTAATCAAGCAGTGTTCAAAGTTTCTGCCTCAGCTTTGCTTTCCTAGGAACCCAGGCTTAGTCAATTTACTTTTCAGTCTTTATTTAATTATAAGGACATTTAAAACTATGGTCATGAGTCCTAGCTGGTTTGGCTAGATGGACAGAGGGTCAGTCTGGGGACTAAAGGATCTGGGTTTGGTTCCGGTCAAGGGCATGTACCTCAGTTGCAGGCTCCTCCCTGGCCGGTGCAGGAGGCAATCAATTGATGCGTTTCTCTCACATTGCTGTTTCTCTCAGTCTTTCCCTCTCTCTTCCACTCTCTCTAAAAATCAATGGAAAAATATCCTCGGGTGAGGATTAAAAAATAATAAAATCAGTAAAAACACATTAAAAAAACCCCCAAACAATTAAAAAAAATAGCCCTGATCGGTTTGGCTCAGTAGATAGAGTGTCAGCCTGCAGACTGAAGGGTCCTGGGTTCGATTCCGGTCAAGGCCATGTACCTTGGTTGTGGGCACATCCCCAGGAGGGAGTGTGCAAGAGGCAGCTGATCGATGTTTCTCTCTCATCGATGTTTCTAACTCTCTATTCCTCTCCCTTCCTCTCTGTAAAAAATCAATAAAATATATTTAAAAAAATAAAACTATGGTCATAGGTTTTCAGGAAATGTGGTTTTAGTTATATCTGTAGTTTTCGATACACAACATTCTTATTGTTATTAATTTTTAAAAATAACTTGTCTATTAAAAATGAAACTATGAGCATCTTTGTGCAGGTGTTTGTGTAGACATTTCGTTTCTCTGGGATAAATGCCAGGATTCTATTGCTGGGTGGATGGTAACTGTATGTTTGTTTGTGTTTTAAGAAATTGCCAAACTTTTCAGAGTGGTTGAACCATTTTGACGTTATGCTGCTGAGAGTCATCCACATCAAACTGGAATCGAATGGGTGACCTCTTGGTTCATGGGTCGATGATCAACCATTGAGCAACACAGGCCGGGCCTATAGTACAGTTTTAAAATAGCCACTTAAAAGTTTACATCCGCTCAGATTACATACATTTGAAAGAGATTTCTGTGGCCCCTTCTGTAACCTTGAGATGTTATTTTGGAAGATGGTATGCATAGCACCTACCACCAGAGGGCGCGCTGTATACACTGCGCCACCTGGCCCCTCCCCTCCTCTTCCCACTGAAGGTAGTTTGTCTAGTTTTACGGTTTATCATTGGGGAAATATTTTGTAATATGTGGCAAGGAAGAGATATCATTTTCCTTTTGATGTACTTTGTTCTTACTTTTCATAAAATTTAAAACAAATACATATGGTGTGTATGACTTCTACCTTCAACATCATTACAGGAGGCCTCCTCCTCCTCCTACTCTGGTACCAAATACTTCTAAATAAAACACTTGATTTTTTTTCACAACTGTTATTTCTTGCTTTGCTTATTAATAAATATTTGTTGTTGATGCTGACTTAATGATTCTTAATTTATAAATTGTTGAGACATGAGTCTAGACGTTCCTTCCTGCTTTAGGTGACTTAGCTGAAAACAGGCTCATCTGGACAGAGCCAGTCTGCGAAGAGACAGCAGGCCTTGACTGAGGTCAGTGTCCTATTGCCAGGACCCTTGTATACACACCTTAGCTCTCAGGGAACACACTCCTGAGGGCTGTTCCCAGGCCTGAAAATTCTTTAATGCATTTCTTTTTTTTTTTTTTTAAATATATTTTATTGATTTTTTACAGAGAGGAAGAGAGAGGGATAGAGAGTCA